AGAGCATCTTGATCAACAACGGATCCAAGTGAGTCCCCTGGGCTCGGGGAGGGGGGGACACATCGCGAGTTGGTCCTTCTCTGCAAGGCCGGGGAGTTGGGACCCACCCTGTAGCTCCGTGCTTCCCAAGGGAGCAGCTCCCTCCTACTCAGGGTGTGTAGCAAACCCTGGTAGTGAGCTGTACGAGCAGGGCAGGAGGAACTCCCGTGCGGAGGTGTTGCGGGAAGGTGGAGCAGCGGTTGGAAGGGGCCCCGGCCCCTGGGTGCTGCCTGGTCCGGAGGTGCTGGGTCGTGCTCCATGCACGGCTGTTTTGTAACCAGCCCTGCTCCTCGCCTTGCCCGGGGAGCTGGAGGGCGGCTGGCGCTGGGCTGGCTCTGCTCTCCTGGTGTGTGTTTGGGTCTTGATTCATGGCTCAAGACCTGACACCCTTTCTCTGTATCTGCCTTCCAGAATCAAAGGCTGGTGGGTTTTCCATCACTACGTCTCCACCTTCCTCTCGGGTGTCATGCTGACGTGGTAAGTCTGCGTCCCCCCGCCTCGTGGGGGGCCTGCTTGGGCTGTGGATGTTGCGGTCTAAGTCAACTCCACACGTTCCTCTCTAGACCCAAGCACCCTAAACAAAAGCAGCCGTCAGCACCTTTGTGCAGCAGGCAGGGTAACACCATCCCCTGCATTGCAATGCCGTGGAAGGGCTATCTCAAACCCCGGGTTGGGTGGGAGCCGGGGCGAGGCGGCGGTGCCCTTACCCTGGCTGTGGGGCAGGCAGGGCTGGGGCTGCCTCCGTCCCTTTTCAGCCCCACATCCCCCAGCCAGCACCGTCTCTCCGCAGGCCGGACGGGCTCATGTACCAGATGTTCAGGAACCAGTTCCTGTCCTTCTCCATGTACCAGAGTAAGTGCTGCCGCGTGTGCTGGGACCACGGCTGGCCCCGGGTGCCGAGAGTGCCTGCCTGGCTCTGCGACACGGTTGTAGCTGCTCACAGCTCTCAGCTCACCTGGGTTTTCCCTTGGCCTCTGTCCTGCCCTCCACTGCCCTGGCACGGGGATGGTCTTTGTGGGCAGAGTCATCTCGGAGCTGATGCTGGGGCCAGGGGATGATGCCCGGGTCACCTGCTGACCGCATCCACGCTCTCCCTGCAGGCTTTGTGCAGTTCCTCCAGTACTACTATCAGAGCGGGTGCTTGTACCGGCTGCGAGCACTGGGCGAGAGGCACAACATGGATCTGACTGTGGGTAAGCTGAGATCTTCCTTTACTGGTTGTCCCAATCCAAATGGACCGGCTGTTGCCAGAGGGCCCATGGCTGCTACCAGCCTCCCTCCCAGCACCAGACCAGTGCTTGGCTAACTGGGAGCTGTGGTTTCTGTTCAAGGCAATGGTGACAGTTAGTGGTGTTTTGAGGTTGGTTTGACTGGGGTTTATCAGTGGCAGAAACAGTAAAAGCTACAAGCAAAGATAAAGCTCTGAGAGCTGCATCTCCCGTGAGGCAGCAGCATCCCGTAGGCTGGATGTCCTCCTCCTCCTGCTCTCCTGGGCCACCAGCCTACGTCTGGCTCCCTCAGGATGTGAGGTAGCAGTGGATGCGAGTCCTGGCATCCGAGCTTTCCTCAGGAAGCTCCTTCAGACATGAAATGTCCCCGTGTCCGTGTGGGCTGCCACCTCCTCGGCCCCTGTGACACCGAGTGCTCGGGCTGAGGGACAGCGGCTGCGGGCGAGGGCAGCTCTATCGGAGCAGCTTCCTCCAGAGGCCCACGTTCGATGAGCACTTGGAATCCCTGCCACAGCCCTCCCCGCGAGTAGAAGTGCCCATTGCGAGGCTGCGTTAGCCTGGCAGGACCTTCTCAGCCATGGGGTGGCCACCGAACCTCCCTGCCCATGACCGCAGGAGCTGGGCTCCATCCAGTCCCCCAGCTAACATGTTCTCGGGTCCTCATGCAAACCTTCATCCTTTGCAGAGGGCTTCCAGTCCTGGATGTGGAGAGGCCTCACGTTCCTGCTTCCCTTCCTCTTCTTCGGGCAGGTGAGTGCACACTGATCCTTGCAGGGACCTGCAAGAGGCCAGAGTCTCCGGTGGGAGCAGATCCTGCCGTATTCCTGGCTGTGCTTGGTAGCCTGGACATCACACAGGTCCCCGCAGGCTGCTGTGGCCATGCGATATGGGTGCTGGGGCAGGGAAGTGCTTTCAACAAATGCTGAGCCTTTTTTTTTCCCTCCAAAGCACCCACCACCTCCACGACTTGGCTAGCGAGATGCGGCAGACCTGGGGTAGTTCTCCCAAGAGGGGCTGGCTCTGAGAACCCTCCCCAAACCCTTCTGAGCTTCAGCTCTGAGCTGCTGCTGTTCCTGAAGGCCCAGTTTTTCCTTGGGCAGATCATTTAGGCCGATGGCCAAAAGCAGTAGGCTGGGCTGAGGCTTCCTCCCAGCTGTTGGGCTCCAGAAGGTGGGAAGAAAGGGGCGGATGCCCTAAGTGGGGTCCTCTGGGGATGACCCTGAGCCTGGCCGGGGTTTCACTGCGTGCTGGGGCAGGCTGGCCTCATGCAAGGGTTTATGCCCAGAGGAAGCAGCTGGATGAGCATCAGCATGGGGTTAAGCCTCTGAAGGTAGAAACTCCCCTAAATCGCCTCTCTCCTGCAGTTCTGGCAGCTCTACAATGCCATCACCCTCTTCCGCATGATCCAGCACCCGGAATGCAAGGAGTGGCAGGTAAGGGGGCTCCCAGGCAGCAGCCCTGGGGAGGGGGATGCCCCAGGTTGGTCCCTCCTGCTGACTTGTGCCTCTGCGGCTCCCGCAGGTCCTCATGTGCGGCCTCCCCTTCTTCATCCTCTTCCTGGGGAACTTCTTCACCACCCTCCGTGTTGTCCACCAGAAGTTTCAGAACAAGAAGAAAGACACGAAGCCGAACTGAAGGGGGGCAGCGTGGGGGCCAGGACTATTTCTCCCCACCGGCTCTACCTCCCATCCCCATCTCCTCGATGCCGTCCAGACTCTGGCGTCTCACCCCATTCCTTGGAAGCCTGGGTATAGGAGAGAGCTTGGAGCCTCCTCACGAATAGACCACGTCTTCACTGCGGTGCTGGATCCATGCCCGAGTCACTCACCTGGAGTTGGGAGCACCCTGCAACTCCTGTCCGTCCGCCTTCCTCCTCCAGGAGAGCAGGGTGCCTGGGACAGCTGCTCCCATTCCCTCTGCCCTCAAGGTGTTTACTGGGATGGTTCTCTGGGCTGAAGCCCCGCTCTGCTAGCACTCGGCAGGGGACAGCCCGGGGTACCGGGCTTGCATCAACTCCCTTGGGACAAGGCAGGGTCCAGGGCTTTTACACAGCTCCTGGGGCAGTCACGGCTCTTCCCAGCCCTGCAGCCAGGGCAGGCCCCTGTGTGCTGAAGGCAGGAGAGGCCTTCATGTGTCATCAGTGGCAAGCAATCGCTTCCCCAGCTGCCCTGCCAGCCCTACTTTACGTTCAAGGGCAGCTGGAGGCCGTGCACAGGGTGTGTTGTACCCCGGTTCCTCCTTTACCTTCAAGCCACAGGGCAGAGGGGGCTGAGGTGGAGGAGCTGGGCGGGTGGGAGCACCACGAACCTGAACCAGGCTTCACACTGGAGCTGTGCGAGTGGCACCCTGGTCTCGCATCTCTGGAGGATGCACATGTAAAAAATAAAGGGAAGGTGCTGCCTCGAGTCGCCGGGGTGGTCTCGGAACAGTGTGCACGCTCTGTGATTTTGGCTTATCTGGCAGTGGGCGCCTGAGACGACACATCAGGGGGAGGGAAGAAAAGCCATCTCCCAGTGCCCCCACACCAGCCCGGGATGCAGGTGCGGTGGGGAGGGGAAGGCAGTGCCGTGAGCTCCCTGCCACGGCACCCCGGGGCTGTGGCCAGAGCTTTGCCCACCCAAGGAGTCAAGCAGAGCTCAGGAGGACATCCCTGTCCCTGCAGCCTGGGGGGAGAGAAGCCCTGGACTACACAGCCCCTCTAGCACAGCTGTGCCCCAGCCCAGAGCCATCCACCCCTCGCTGCCGTCCTCACTGCCCTGCCAGGGCTCAGCACCCGGAGTTGCAGCCATTGCTCCTCCTGCCTCCCTCTGGCTGAGCAGAGAGAGGAAGCAAACTACAGAAACAGTATTTTTATTCCAAGGGCAAATGTATTTAAATAATTTACATTCATTGGACAGGCTGAAAGTTTGTGTTTTTTTTTTTTCCCATGAATAAATCACAAAAGATGTTAAAATAAAAATAGTATTTAAAAAAAATTGACCGTACACAGCATGAGGGAGAGGCTGGGCACAGGGGAGCTGCCAGCTGCAGGACCCCAGGGAGCAAGCAGGGCCCCTGTGGGCCGAGACGCCCCAAAACCAGGTCTCTTCCAGAGGAGAGAGGAGCCATCCCCTCCCCGCTGTGTGCTGGAGCGAAGGCAGGCGATGGGAGAAAGGTGCAGGGGTGTCTGGGAGGTCCTGGTGGTGTGGGGCAGCTCTGCCAGCCCCATATCCCAGCGATGGCCAAACAGGGCGGGAGGGAGGCGAGGACAGATAGCTGCCCCACGCCGTGCACTCACACCAAACCCACAGCGCGGGGGGCTGCCGGCTCCTCCTCGC